ATAATAGTCATTATAGAGTATATCGAATAACTTTCTAAAAGCTTATTTACTAGAATAGGTTAAATGTCTTGTAATAAAAGTGAGTAGGTTCAAAAATTATAATTTATGTTCCAAGTAATATTAAAAWAAACATCTAATGATTGCCACCAAAAAACTTATTATAGGCATATATAATATATGCCTAAAATAAGTATAATAATATATGATATATTAGTATTAAATTAAGAGTAGGTATCATATTATCATATTGTTCCAGAGTGTCGTCAGTGATTGGATTTTCAACCATAAAAAAAAAACCAACTAAACATAATTTATGMCTACTATACTAGACTGAGTAGATTGTACCAAGCCATTTACAAGGCTTAACACAAAATATAAACAATATAAAAATATTACATTATTATATTATTAGAATTAAAATAAGATATCTAGTGTAATAGAGACAAAAGAAATATTTCCCTATTGACATGTTTAAGTACTTATACAAACAAGCTATAATAATATTTTAATATATGCACTGCTGTAACACTATACTACTTACACTGAATCAAAATTAAAAATTATTAGTGATACCTACCTTATACCATTTATCATATTTTAAATTACAATACATACGTACCCACATATAAAGGAATAATTATATGGGGAAATAAAAAAAGTAAGTACCTATATGGACTTAAATGGCTAAATGCGTATTATACATTATACCTACTACTATTTATTATCCTCTAATTTTTGCAGATAATTGTGAGTTTTGGTAAATTATATAACCCTGTARAATGTGGAATTAAAAATAATAAATTGTGAATAAAATTYAAATCCAAATCAATTACCCACACATTTTAGAGAGAAACATTAAATAAAATAGTTATTTAAAATTATATGCAGTTGTCCTACTTATTGATTGTATTAATGTATTGTATAGATTGTAAATAATAAATATATTGTTGCTAAATTTAAAATAAATAAATTATAATATGTTCACTTTTGTCTTCGAAAAAAAAACACAGTTGTTTTTATAAAAATTATTTTTTCTCATCTTATTTAATCTATATATGTCTTCAACTATCAAGAAAATAAATTCTTTGGGTCTTAAATGTATTGTTTATGCTGATCACATTGTCATATTCACGCAAAATAGATACCTAGATATCATAGGCGTGTCCAGACCTCGTTCGCAAGTCATGCACAATAGTGGCATATCCAGGAGAGGAGGAAACTAAACCCCCTTAAAAAAAATATGTTTGGGGATATGACACCTGAGTTTAAATATTTTAAATTTAGATCAAATTTCACAATAATTCATGTCTGTGCATGACAGGCAAGATCGGTGGACACGGCTATCCTAGATATGGCCGTCACATCCATAAATAATGCTTTAGAGTCACTTATGGAGGCCCTTACATTCTCCTACAGCTCTATAGCACTCAAGAAATATCAAGCAATAATTTTTGCTAGATATCAATTCAATTAATACCCTGACATAATAATCAATAATACTTAAATTCCGGTAGTCACGAATCACACCTACATAGGTATTGATATAGAAAAAAGATTCTAAGCTCAGATGGTCATCCCATTTTAAAAGATTAAAAAATGTTTATTAAACGTTTAAAAAGTAAAGAAAATATTTATTCTATTTAGGAACAATACACTCGTAGTTACCGAGATATAAATTCAGTTATAATTATAAATAACTGTAGTCAGTAATGTATGATAGGTAATCCATGATTTCAAATGAAAATAATTGATGGGATGTATGTCCTATTGTCTTGTAACAAATACGTCTATCGAAAATATTGAAGGCAGTTGGATAGGCAATCAGAATACCAGATTTACATGTAAATGTAACCTAAGTCGGACGCTTCTGGCAACGACCGTATACTTATAATTAATGATAGCGCCTGCTAATAAATTGGCAACTCAACACACATTTAAATGATTTGAAAGCGGGGAACACTGAATCGATTGAAACGAACAATAAGAATTTGAAATAAGAATAGTAAAATGCAAATTACAACAAAATAATCAACATTTTTATCTATCACTAGCTGATCACCGTGCATTTTGTTGTCCGTTAAAAATACCAATTCTGTATGATTCAAAATAATTTATGTTTAATTAGTCGTTTAATAACTACCTTAATCATGTTCAAAATTTCCCGTAGATTTATCTTATCTTAATCTCTATTAAAGATTTAACACAATCATAYAAAATACAGGACTAAAATCATATACAGTCGTAGTATTTTCGAGCATTTTTAGCTTTGTAAAGGTGAAACAATTTTTAAAATAGGTGTATTTTTATATATATTTATTAAAATAGTACCTCATAACAAATTGTTGATTTATTATTCATTCAATTGTATAACCATTAACAACCCTATAATAAACAAAACATAATTATATTTACTATTATTATTATATCTATCCTCCCCTTCCCACCCTTCTGGCAAAAAAAAAAAATGAAAAATCGGATGACGTGGTGACACTCAGGAAGGGTTCATTCGGAACAACCAACTATTTAAAAAAAAATTTGGAAAAGTGATAAATAGTTATGTAATAATAATAAAAAGATGTATTTTCCCAAAATTGTCTTTCGTAAAAACCTTATAGAGTATGTTAAGGGGCGCCAATATTTTTACGAAGAATATAAACGATTTTTTGCTGAAAAATTACAAGTTATCTTAATAATTCAAACATATTATACTATATGATATTATTAATATTATTAAAATAAAACTGAAATAAAGATTATATATGACATATTATATTATAATAGTATGTTATATATATGATACCTATATTTATATTATATTAGTATATTACCTGCATTCTGTTATTTGTCCTATTGCGTCAGTTAGTCATCGAGATCTWGATGTCGGGGGATCTATGTGACCGTTCACCAGWAAAACCTCCACAAAATTAATGATAAAGAATAATGATAATAGTCGGCCATTTTGCAGCTATTCGAAATCGTTATCACCGCTTGTCGCTATAATAGTATAATAGTTTACGGTTCGAGATATCGTCATTCGCCAATCGGCATTCGACAATCAGTGTTCAGCATTTTTCTCTGTAATATTAGTGTTCGTTGTTTACTGTTTTATGTTCAAAATTTAGCCATTTAGCGCAAAGTGCAAYTTCAATAGAGTTCTTAGTGTTCTAACCGTCTACGGAATTACATTTCCATATYTTTACTGCCTTATTGTGATCTGCGGTCTTAAATTAACATGAGCCGTCGTCGAATTCATGACAGTTATGAAGATCTGTATGGTAAGCTTTTTTTAGTTTTTTTACATTTCCCGGTGTCTAAAAAGAACATGGTGTCATCATTTACTACAGGTCTACACAATTAATAATAATGATAAACAAAAAATAAATTATAATGTGTCATCTAGTGTCAATGGTGACTTCGTATTACAATGTCCACACCTGATTAGGTATATTCCATAACAATTAACAATATTAAATTACTTATAAGTATGTACAGGATGTGCATTCCTTAATAAAAAAGAATGATGAAAATTCAATTGATGAAGCAATCAAACGTGCGTTTGCATGTGAATAAACGTTAGCTTAACCATTTCGGTTGGTTATTGTATCAATATGAACATATCAACAAACTAAATATTCAGTCGTGTTTCATCAATCTAATGTAAAAATATAATTTTGATAACTTATTACAAATTATATTTACGGAGTTACCTACCTATATATTTTAAAATCATTTTAATATGTAGCTATACATTTTAATATCTTAACAATATACAGTTGTAAATTAAAGAATCAACTTATCTTATTATTTTATCATATTAAGGCATACAATTAATTGTATGTGCAGTCATATATTATGATCCATAGCACTGAAACTGTAAAAACATTAGTCCATAATAATATTTAATAACTATTCTGTTAAATTCAATTAATTAAACAGATGAAAAAATAGTTAAATGTGAATATTATGAATTGTTGTTATCAAATATATTTTGAAACTTATATTTAAAAATGTTCACCTTGCAATAGGTAGGTAATTACTAAATAGTGTTTATACCAAATCAAAATGAATCAGTTCATACTCGAGTTTATACACCTTTTTTCACAATATGTCACTTTTTTTGCCCTCCTTAATCTCAGTCATATTTTGGACGTGCTCATAAGGTAAACTTTTGTTTGTTTTTCATTATAAATAATTCAAATTTATGAATCTTAAACTTAACTTTATTATCATGCATGCATGTAACCAATATTTTAAACTAATGTTCGTAGTAAAACTGTAGAAGTATATTTAATTAAACTAAACTATTTAAGAAATAATATTGATTAAATTGATCACAACATACAGTTGTTGTGTAATTGAAAATGTATATCCAAGTTAATTATTATAATTTACTGTAATTATGTATAATAATTAGTTGGTATTTATGACTTTGAGTACTTTTAATGCATAACAAAAAAATTATAGCTAATATTGTAATTTTCAGGTGGTGATCGAGGCTATAAAAAACGTCGTCGTGGTGGTTCCGAAAGTAATGACTTAGAAGATAGATTGGAAAGTCTTGTTCTTAAAGTTGGAGAAAACGTAATTTTATTTGTTTATTATCAATAAGCTTCTTTTTATCAATCATAAATTGTACCAATAATATTTAAATACAATTTCATGTTATTATTACTTATAATTTCTCCATCGTCTTTAAAATATTTAAATACATATTTAAAACATTTTTTTGTAAATCAATTATTTTATAATATATTACTAATAATTTCTTTTTTTGATTTATTTTTATAAACAGACTACTAGCACAATAGAAAGTAATTTAGAAGGTTTGGCTAGTGTACTAGATGGTAATATACAAAACTTTAAGAAAAAAGTACTCAAATTATTAGTAGAATGTGCAGTTAATATGCCGGAAAAGTGTACAATTTATTCAACTTTAGTTGGCTTATTAAATGCTAAAAATTACAATTTTGGTGGTGAAGTAAGTGAATTTAATTTAATAACATACTATATTCTTATTGTAGGGAAAGCT